CGCTCTATATCAAAATTATGAGGAAACATTATAATCTTATTTCTAGTTGTATATCCATCACATAGCGATAGACTACCACAATGGAAGTTTGAAGTCACTAACTTGGCTCCAGGATCCAGGTGCGGCGCCACAATCAAGGACCACGTGGCCAGGCCGAATGAGACCACCTGTAGGAAGCAGAGATTCTTGCAATTGAAGCAACTTGAAAGCACTACGACATCTATAGCTGGAAAGGCGAGCCTCACGGATGTAAGGATCAGTCCGCTGACGATGTAGCCACTGCTAAAGCGGCCATAAAGAACATATGAAAACCAAGCATACTTGAATTTATAAGCTGATCTAAATTAGCATCCAAAGACAAACCCAAATTTAATTCTCCCTTAAGTAAATTAAAATCTATGCTAAAATAAACAAGCATAGTAGAAGTGGATTAAATTCGTTGTCGCAACTTGGTCTTGTTGTCAGGGCGACTTAGTAGAACTAACCTAGTCCGAAGTCGTCTTCCATACTAGTTGTCATAATTTCCAGCATCAGACAGTGAATTTGGTACATTCAAACATTTCGCCGGCATCATCAGTGAGTTTTGCTATTCTCCACACCAAGCTATGAACTCGTCAAAGATACAAGTGAATTTCCTGAAGGTAATAAACCAGATTGATAAAAAATTCAATTCACGATTGAGGTAGAGGAAGGTGAGCGGTTACCGTTCTTGGATGTTGAAGTGATTCATTATAGTGAGACGCTCAAAAATAAATTGTTCAGAAAGAAGTCCTATGCTGGGATAATACTCAATTTCCGGTCCTATCACAATTACGGGCTAAAGATTGGAATAAAGAGGAGCATGATCATCCGAAACCTATGCCTAACGGATGTAGAATTATTGGACGAGAAGCTGAACAAATTGAAGAGGATATTCCTCGGCAATGGCTACATGAACGAAGTTATACAAAGAAACATACGGGCCGTGAAAAGCCGATGGCAGAATGGGGACTATTAAAGAACAGTAAGGACGATGAAAGATTCACAAAAATGGATATGACTACCTTCCAGCGAACTAACTCAAAAACTACAGACAATACTGAGTAAATGAAATATTCAGGTGGCCATGAAAGAGAAATCAACACTTTTCACAAGTCTACCAACGCAACATGAAGGGGTAGACAAATTGGATTGTTCAGGAGTTTACTGTATAACATGCGGCGCCTGCGAATAGAAATATGTTGGCGAAACAGGGAGAAAATTTGGCACATGAATCAAGGAACGTCAGAGGCTATGAAGGAAAATGGATACCGAAAGATCAGAACTAGCGGAACACATCGCACAGAATGGACACGAGATCAAGTAGAAGGCAACAGAAAGAAGAGCCCCATACGGTGACAACACAGGAAAGCGGAAGATGGGGGAGGCCATTGACATCCTTGGGGAGAAAAATCTAATCAACAGGAGATTGAATGAAGGTAGAGTTAGCGATAACTTTGTCTACTGCCTAAGCAAACTAGGGGAAAACAAAGAGAACAAGACCAACAAAAAGCAGAAGCCTGGATCAGGGATCTACCGATAACCGGAGTAAAAAGGATCGCGATGAAGAAAGTGGAAGACAGGGGTTTTCGGCAATAAAGTGAAGACTTTATCAGTGCGTGATGCCCGTTTCGAATAAATCCGTACAACTTTGGGGGCCTGGCAGTCAGGGAGCTTGGCAGACGGATAGGCAAACCGTCACGAAAATTCGGCGTTATGTCCAAAATGCACTATAAATCCACTTGAGATGCCGCATGCGACCAGAAGTAGGCGTCCACAGTTTGCTCAGATAACATGCGTTTAATCAAGAAGAGGACCCAAAAAGGGAAGGCTTGCTATCTGCAAGCATGGGAATCAGAGCTTAGGCACTTTGCTCAGTGAAGTGGCAGTGTACATGTTTATAGTGCCCTAAGAAATAGCGCCTGGAGTGAAATGCACACTGGGACTGAAACCGAGTGAAATCGGTAGACCAGAAAGATAGCGAACGGATCTACGAGACACTGAGAGGATCCGGATTGGAGGCACAAGTCGGATCAGCCGATCGAAAAGGAGGGGGTCGGGGAGAATAGCAAGTGTGATTAGGACACGCTTGATTTGACACAAAAAGCCACAGATTTTAACGAATGGAATGTAAACAAGTGAGAAGTTGTGATAGGTTCAAAGTGGGATTAGAGAGTAAAGAGTAGATAGATAGGCCAGGACAGAAAGAGGAGTATGAGATGTATTCACCCTATTTCGTTCAAGGTGACGAAGGACTGGTAGTAGAATTTATCCACAATGATATGAGCAGAGATGACGTTTCCATTGAATTTCACATTGCCTTGCTTTACCAAAAGTTGTTCTCATCTAGGATGGACGGTAGAACGCTTTTCGAGAAATTGACTTCACTTGTCTCTGACGAGTCCGTAGCTTCGTGCGGAGAATAGCAAAACTCACTAATGATGCCGACTACGATGCAGGCAAAACGTTTAAGAATGTACCAAGTCCACTGTCTGATGCTGAGAATCA